AAAATCACGCATTCCTTTCATATTTCAGGTTATTCACATTAACGTCTTATCATTCTCTCTGTGGCTGTTTTTCCTAGTTGGCTCTGAGCCACGCTCTGTACCTTCCCTCCTTTCTTGAGTAACACAAGCAGAGTTTTCCTTTTCTCATCTTCTTCTTTGTAAAGAACGACTCTTCAAAGACTCTACTTTCCCTTTTCACTTGCCTTATTCTCCTTTTACTTTCCTTTGATTCTCTTCCTTTCTTTCTAAGAATCAGGTGGCTCATTCATTTCTTCTCAAACTTTCCTTTTCCAGCTGGGCCCGTGTTTAAAGCTAGGAGCTTCCCTCTGAGCAGGGCTGTAGCCACATCCCGTGAGTTTTGCTGCGTATATTTCCCAGATGTTGTGCTTGAGGGAGCCCCTCACACTGGCCACCAGGTGGACACGTAGCAGGCGGCCATCTGTGCGCCTCGGGCCCTCCCACAGTGAATCTTCTAACACCGTGACCTGGGACGTCCAGCCTCCAGACAGCTCTCTGTGACATATAAGTCACCCAGTCTAAGAAGTGGAGCCTGTGACCAGCTTCGACTTCTGTGATGTGGAGAGATCAGCCTCGGTTTAGACCATCACACCGCAAGCCCCATGCTCCACGCCGCATGGCAGCTGCTCCCATGGCCCCTGGCTCCGTGGCAGGGTGGCCCCCACCCCTCTGCTGCAGGAGGGGGTGGACGGAGGTGGAGGTAAAGGACAATCCCCCCCCTCCGGGGGACTCAAGCGGGCACATTCCAGGGAGCAGTGCTCTTTCCTGGACAGTGGCTACCCCTGCCCTTGGCCACTGGGCCAACCCACAGCCTGGTTTGGTATCAGCCTTGTCTTTCCAGACGTGACTCTGGGACCCTGCGGGAGCCAGGCCCTGGGTTCTCGTGTCTTCGCACTTGCGGTCCTCGTGGACGCGGTCAGGCCAGAGGAGACAAGAGCCGCACGGGGGTCCCCCGAGGCAGCCCAGATCAGGGAGGCCGTGCACATAGGGAAGACACTGCTGTGGGCTGTGGTTTCAATTGTGGGCACCGAGCCCACCCACCAGGTCAGAGGGCAGAGAAGGTGCAGAGAAGCTGAGGGTCAAAGGCTGGGTGGGGCCAGCGCACAGAGGCACGGTCCCAGGACAGGAGTCTTCCAGGGCAGAGGAGGGAGAACAGTTGAAACGTGAGGTGCATTTCTCCTTAACTGAAGAAAAATAAACCATTTCAGGTTGAAAGAGCTCACAGTCAAGCAGGAGACAGACTGGGAAACCCATACCCTGTGAAAGTTCCAGAAGAATCCTGAAAGCACAAGCCCCCCTGGCCACTGGACTTCTGCACAGCACACGAGGAGGACACCAAGGGGTCTTTTTAAAGTACTAAGGAAGCAAACTCTGTAGCTAGAATTCTATATCCAGCCAGATTGAAAGTTTGATGAAAATATTCTTGGGAATACAGGCTTTAGAGACACTTTAAGATCTTTGTATTTCACAAGTGAGAATGTGGGAGAAGCTTCAGGAAACATGGAGAATGGGAGATTAATGAGGAGCACCTTAAGATGGTGTGCTGATTGTCTTGGAAGGAAAGAAGAGAAGCGCCAGGGTTCTTCCGGTCGGCAGCACCTGGCCAAGGAGCCTGTGGCCAAGCAGAAGCATGTGTGGGTCTGCAGGTGTGCAGAACAGACCCTGGCAGGCCCTGGGTGCTGGTGTGGGGGCTCACTGTCCTCCAGAGTCCCGTGTTAAGGGCTTCATCCTCAGGGTGGCACTGTTGGGAGGCGGCAGACACTTAGGAGGTGGGGCCTTACCTGAGGTCCTAACGACATTGGGAGGTGCCTTCCAGGGGACCCCAGGCTCTCAGTCTTTCTCTTTGCTTTCTGGCTTGTCACGTAAGCAATCTGCTCTGACACACATTTCTGTCACGATGACCCTGATGGGGCCACTTGGTCTTGGACTGGAACCTTCAAAACCAGGGGTCAAAATCAATCTTTTTCTTCACGAGTTGATTGTCTTGGGTATTTTACTGTGGTCACATAAAGCTGGTTAATACACTGGGTAAATGAAATAGAAAAGAGTCTTAAATTCAGGGCAGTTGCCATAAGAATAAAAATAAAAATGTGTAAGTAAGCAGAAGAAAGGCCAACATGCAATGAGAAATAAGGATGATAGCATCGAGGAAGTGGAAGTTTTCATAAGGTGGCAAAAGTCAGCCTAGACATCCAGCAATCACTGTGAATGTAAATGGATCAAATTACAGTTAAAGGTAGAAATGGCAGACTTAATTCCAACCATGGTTTGTCTGAAAGAGAAACACTTAAAAAAGGACACAAAAATTTAATATAAAAAATTAGCAAACATGAACCTCAGGAAACTGGGTGGATGTCTTCATATATAATCCTCAACTTTAAAGTAAAAAAAATTTTAAAAACCTCAAACCACAGACAAAGGACACACAGGCATTCTAAGGAGGGAGTCACAGAATCTTGATGCACACCCTCAAAATCACTTGACTCTCTCCAGTGTAGCACATCTGGCAACCCCAGCCAGACTGGGGGGTGGGGAGGCAGATATTCCAAGATTGTAGCTGGAGATATTTTTCTTTCTTTCTTTCTTTTTTCCTTTTTCAGTGCTGGGAATCATATCCAGGGCCTTGCACATACTAGGCAAATAAACACCCTACCTCTGAATCACATTGCCAGCCCCTAATTGAAGATTTCAATTTTATAAAAGATTAATAGCTCAAGTTGACTTAAATTAGCAGAAATACAGAAATCTGTACCCACCACACAGCCAGCACAGCCATTCCGAGCACAGGCAGAACATTTATAGACATGGACCAGCGTTAGGACCCAGAGGGGTGAGGCCTCCAACTGTATGCTCTCCTCTTCAGTCCCTTTATCCCATTCTTTGGGGGATCACTCCAGATGCTCCAAGCTCCCTGCTCCAGTTTCCCCTAGGGCTCAGCCAAAGTGACACCAGGTCAGGCTAAGGTGTTTGCTCCCCTTGCTCCCCTCCTGTGGGTGGGCGGCTGATGCACCCTAACTTCCCCACCTGCAGGTGGAAGGCTGCAGTGCCACCTGCCCTTGGATTTCCTGACCTCCCACCACATCTCTGTGGGTAGTCACTTTTTCAGACACTGCCTCAGGTAACTCCAAGTATGCTCTCTGCTCTCTGCCAGGATCTTGACTGAACACACTTTATTCCATGACAAAACGCAATTGAGAACCTGTAACAAAGGGTTGAAATAAAACAAACAGTGTTGGAAAGTAAATGTTATTAAATAACCCATGGGTTTAAAAGGAAATCATCAGAGACACTAAGAAATATTGTCATTTAGATCTGAATGATAACGAACGCATTATATGACCAAATTTGTGAGACCCAGCTAAGGCAGCTGGATTTGGGAAGGATTTGGGTGGCTTTAAATAGATCTATCAGAAAACTGGAAGGTTTAAAAATGAGCTAAGCATTTGCCATAAGACAGAGCGAAAGATCCACCCAAGACTCTCCAAGGGAGCAACAGATGCAGACAGAAATAAGTGAGATAAGGGAAAGACAGAGCATCAACACAACTGAAAGATGGGCCTCTGAAAATACTTAAATATTTAAAAAGAAAAATTCAAATAAGATACAGAATAAAATAAGTACAGAAACAATACAAGCATACATATGCTAGTAATTTTAAAATGAAACGAAATGAATCAATTCTTTGAAAAATGTCAAATCTTACATTAATTCCAAGGAAAATATCATTTGCCTCGAGAAACAGAGAACTTGACCAGGCTAACAAGTGCAATGGAAACGGGGGGGGGGGGGGCAGATGTTTTTATCCTTTCTACCTTGCTAGGGACAACTATTACTTTCTCCTTTGGCAGGTGGTTTTGGGAAAGATGGAGAAGGGTCTCCTTGGTTCTGGTTGGGGTGGGTGGGAGCTGCGGGGAGGAGTGCAGGTGCTGGGCTGCGGTTCCTTCCAAGGCCCGTGTTTGCAGTTACTCGTGGAGGTGGGGTACCCCTCCCTCCCCAGCTCCAGCGACTGCTGAGAAGGCACGCTGTGCTGGCGCTGAGGTGCTGATGGCAGGGGGTCTTCGGGGAGGACGCCTGGTGACTTGTTTCGCGGCAGCACAACGACGTCACTACGCCCACCACCGCATTGCGGGGAACTCCCCTGGGGCGAGCAGACCAGAGACTTGTCGGAGTCGCCCAGCCCCAGGGCGGTGCAAGATGAAGTTGGCGGCACCGCAAAGATGCCCCCAAGGGGACCAGAAAGCAGCGGGGTTTGGTGAGGGCTGAGGACCCCGAGTAGCGAGTGGCTTGGGAGTCCGGGGGGAATTAGGGTGAGCAGTGTGAGGGCAGAGAGGACCCCGAGCACGGCTGGAGGACACCCGGGTCCGCCATCGGGCGGCTGCGTCAGCCTCTCAAGGAGGGCATCTGGATGCGCTGGCCTCCTTCCGGTGCGCAGGCCCACTCGCCAGACACCGTCTTAAGACCCACCTGTTACATCGCGAAGTCCATACCCCTAATCCTCGCCCCCTTCGTCCCTTCCCTGGTGGGAGGCCCTCCCCGCCTTTGTGCGCCCCCCGCCCCCACGGCTGTTCGTTGGCCTGTATTGGTCTCTCCCCGCCGGGCGCAGGCAACGACTTTATGATTTCCCTTGAAAGGGGACCGTATGGGGCAGGGTCTGGCGTGGGGTCTGCGGGCGAGTTGTGGATGAGGGCCCTTCCCTGCAAGGTGGAAGGGAGGTGCCAGCTGTTCTGGAGGGGGGACGTGGCCTCCGAGCCAGGGCGTCTGTCCCCCCCCACACACACACCGCCATCGGTGATGTCACAGCCCGGCCCCAGCCCCCCTCCAGCCCCATCCCCATCTCCGCTGCGGCCGCGACGCCAGTCCCTCTCCCTGTGCGCGACAAACCAGCTGGCGGCTGGGGCTCGGACGCTGAGCGCAGCCAACCAGCGCGGCGGGAGGGGCGCGGGGCGGGCCGGGCCGGGGGCGCGCAGCCCGTCACGCGGCGCCACCGTCACAGCGCTGAGCACAGCCCGCAAGCGGCAGCAGCTCCAGGCTCGGGAATCCGCGCCGGTGCCCGTGCCCATGCGGAGCCGCAGCCAGTGACGCCGGAGAGGTAAGGCCGCTGCCCGCCAGGCCTCCCGCAGCCCGCGCCCCTCACCCGGCACCTGCACCAATTGCACCCGGGGTAGGGAGCTCCGGTCCGGCGCAGGCGTCCTGGTCTGTGCCCGACGCGCGAGCATCTCGCGGTCCCTTCCCTTTCCCCGAGCCTCCTCCGTCCCCGCGGAGAACAATGGGGAGAATTCAGGAGCATCCGCCCTTCGTGCGCAGCGGGCAGGCCCTGCGGAAAGGTCCCTTATCTGCGGCATTGAAACGCTGGGCCCGAGTGGTTGGGGGTCGCCAGGGGAGGGCGCGCGGCGGGCAGGATCTCCAGGCACCCTCCTTTCCCCGCTATACCTTCCCCTAGAGAGGAGCCGCCCAGGTGCTGCACTGGCGGGGTCGGGGAGGGATGTGGAGAGGGGAAGAGCACGCGGATGCGGGAACCGGGGAGGGGGCGCGGCTGCAGAGCCCTGGGCAGAGGAGTGGGCGCTCAGGGCCGCCGGGCTGGGGCAGCTGCTCTGGTCCCCGGGTGGGGGAGGGCGAATGCAGTAGCGGGAGCCGACAGACGGGCGGGGCGGCCCGGGACTGCGGCGCGAAGGCCAGGCCACCGGCTTCCAGCGCTCCGCGGGGGCTGCGCATCACCTCCCCAGGAGACCCCAGCTCCCTTCCAGAAAGACCCACCACCTGGGAAGGCCGCCGGCGGACGCGGCCTGCTAATGCGCGGCCAGCGCCACAGTAACAGGTGTGGCCCGGCGGCGGGCGGGAGGGGGCTGCGGGGCCGCGGGGTCTGGGCTAGCGGCGCTCCCCAGGCGCCCGGGCTCGGATGACCGAAGGAACACAGGCAGCGAAGACCCTCGCACTCCCCCTTTTATGCCCCCTCACTCCAACTCCCCACTAATCCAGGGGCGCCGCCCTCTCTGTCTCCCGAAGGGGCCGGGGCGCAGCCGCATCCGTGCGGGGAAGGAGGGTCTGCGGCTGGGCGGGGCGCTGGGTGCCGGGTGGTGGGGGGACTGCGGGCCGCCAGGGCGGGAGGGGGAGGGGAAGGAGGGAATGCCAAGTCATGGGGCCTGCTGGGCGCGAGCGCGACGTCGCCCGGCGCGGACCCGATGCGCGCCCACGTCCCCGGGAATAGGACTTTCCTCCAGAGGCCAGAGGACCCCTCCCCTGCGGCCACCCTTTTCAAGGGGCGCCTGCATTGCTGGGATTAAGGGCCTGCTAGGGCAAGCGGATTGGATCCTGCGACTGCAGAGAGGAGGAGGTGCGGAGCGGCCCTGCGGCGCTAGGCTGGTCCCTAACTCCTGGGACACACAGCACTCAGCGCAGGTTCCTGCAGGGGACGTGCTCACTCAGGAGGATGGCTAGGGCGTCTGCCAGGGCGATAGGCGCAGTCCCCTTGGTCTGAGAAGGCAGCCGCGGGTTTGACAGGAAGCTCTGGGGTCCAGGCTTGGAGCCATACCTGCGGCGGCCATTTTGCAGGTGTGGTTGGATGCCCGCCTTATGGGGCAGTGGTGTGGGGTGAGCAGGGCTGGAGCCAGCAGTGGGGTGCAGAATGGGCAGGGAAAGTCACTCATCTGCGTTTGCTGTGGTTAAACACCACCTTTAGGGGTTGGGTCAGGAGCCAGTGCCCTTCTGGACCCAGGCTTGTAAGAAAACCATCCTTCTGCAGGGTGCGAAGTCCAGGCAGGACACTGGCCTGAGGCAGGGACCATGAGGGCCTCCTTCTGGGAGGCAGGCTGCCTTCCTGAGGTAGGGCAACAGCATGGAGGGCTGCTAATCACAAAGCCCTGTCTGAAGGCCTGTAAGAGGCCTGCAGTGAGTACCCCTGTGCTGTCCCCCACCATGGGGATGCCCCTCAAACAGCCCCCGGAAGAGTGATGCTCTGCCCAGGCCAAAGCTTGAAGATGGCTGAACTGGAATCAAATCCTGCTCACTGGGCAGGGGGCCCTCATGCCCAGTTTGTGCCCCTTGTGTCCTCTCCTCCATCACATCTGCTGACCAGTGCTGACCCTGTTCTCAGAATGGAGCAGAGCAGTCTTCCTGTGGGCTTCTTCCAGGGGAGAAAAGGGACAGAAGTGGGTGGAGGAGTTGGGGACTGGAGGGTGGGGTCCCCTAGGCCCCTCAGCTCCCCCCGACAGCTATGGCCACTGTGCTGCGTGTGTGTGGCAGGCGGGGCATCTTCACAGAGACTGGGATCACCAGACTGGGGCCTGTGAAGAGCTGTCAGCACGGAAAACGCTGCTTTTAGGATTGACTGAGCTCAGGCCGGAGACTGGAGGGGCCTGCGCCACCGGCTCCAGAACCTGGCAGGCCCAGCACGTGGCCGAGTTCCCTGAACACTGCCTGTTGAGTGTTCCCAGGCTCAGAGGACAGGGCTCACCACCTCCCTGCTGATAGCCAGAGGGAGCACAATGTCACCTCCCAAAGTCCACCACTCCATCCCTGCCCAGGAGCATCTCTGAGAACTCATGGGGGTGGACCACACCCTGCCCCCAGCCTGTCCATAGGTGGTCCTGGTGCCCAAGGCCAGGAGGGCTGGCCTGCACCCTTTTCCAGTTCTGCCTCTGTTGATGGCTTCTGTCCACTGGTCTGTCCTGGGATCCCAGGGCCCTGCATCTGGGTTCCTTGGCATCTGCCTGGAGCAGGGGCAGGGGCTCCCCAGTCCCACCCAGGTAACCAGCTTGCTGCTTAACTTGAGCCCAGCCAGGATCCCGGCCCAAGGTCAGATGGAATCCTGGATCCTCAGTGCCTTGTCCCTCAGTGCCTGGGTGGTCTTGCAGATCCGGACACTACAGGGGAGGGGAGGAGGGCACAAAGTCCCCAGTTGAAGCTAAGACCCAGACCCCTTGGGCTCCTCCACTGGCCGTGAGCTCCTGAGGTCCTAGCTCTCTGCACGGAGAATGACCCGGAAGTTCCTACCTGACTGCAGAGGCTGAGTGGGAGGGGCTGCCCCTCTCCAAAGCTTTCTGACCCTGGGTCTAATCTCCTAATCCCAACCCTGAAGTCCAGGCAGGCTTTGCAGGGCCCAGGAGGTTCCTACCCTGTGGTCCACCCAACCAGATCTCAGGACTGCCCAAGCCTCCTGCATAGCCCCCGCCCCTTCACCACATGGCCCTTGGGGAGGCTGAAGAGCCCCCTTTCCCCACTCCTGCACCCACAGGTGCACATTGGCACCTGTACACGCTCACCCTCACAGACACACACCCTCCCCCACACTGTCTGCCCTCACTCGGGGTCTGTTCCTGCCTGGAGCAGCTCTACCCAGCCTGCACACAGCCTGCTAGGGTGTTGCCAGGACTCGTCCGTAGGCCTCAGGACAGGCGCCCTGCTCTCCAGGTCTCACCTGGGCTGCGAAGCTCTAGGGGTAGGAATGGCGCCTGACTGCACCTGTAGGCCCCCTTCCTCTTGAGCCACCTCCCGCCTGTCCTCAGCTGGAAGTGGGTGGTGCCCAGGAGTGCGCTAGAGCAGATCAGACATCCCCCATCTTGGCCCTGTCAGTTGCCTTCCCCACCTGTCACCAGCTCAAGCCAGGGTGTTGAGGGGCAGGACTGTGGGGACCTGGCTTCTCTGCTGTGTGGCCAGTGCCACCCTGGCTGCAGGTCCCTGGTGCCAGGCAGGATGCAGCTACTCAGCAGGCCAGGACCAAGTGACACCTCCGGGCCTCACCGCCTGGGTCAGCTTTTGCTGGAAGCGGCTGTCTTGGGTGGTGTCCTTTTGTTACATTGAATGCGCTTCTTTGCATTGAATGGGCTTCCTCACTTTCCCAGCTCTGCGGAGCCCCACTCTAGGCGGCCACCTCCTGCCTGCCTGTGACCTACCACTTCCTGGCTCCTGGCAGCTGCATCTGCTGGATTGGGTCTGTGTCTTTGGGACCCCACAGCTGCTTGTCTCTTGGTTTCCCACCTTGCTTTGCTGGAGCGCATCTGTGCCACTTCTGGGGGTGCGGAAGTCTGAGTGTGTGTGAGCCCCCGGCCCTCCTCCCTCTCCCCAGGGTGGGTCCTGCGGCCCTTCTTTCATGCAGTGGCCTCTTTCTCAGTGGCCTGTCTTTCTCCCTGGAATCTCCCTTTCCGGCCTTCTCCCCGTGCCCGTGGGTGGGGCTCTGAGTGGTGTTTGCTTCACTGGGGCTCAGGGGGCTTTTGAATGGGAGACAGGTTTTCTTATCTGTGCATGATTTTCACCCCTCTCATTTTTCCTGTTTTCTTCCTGAGTCCAGGGGCTGGTCTTCTTCTCTGCCTTTTCTCTTATATATTCTGTCTCCTTGTCTGGGTTCTAGTTTCTGGACAGTCTTTGGTCTTCATTTTCTCGTTCTTTGTTTGGAACTCTGTATTCCAGCTTATGTAGAATCTCAACATTGTGCTTTTCTTGACTGTAATGTTCCTGTTTCTTAGCGTCTTGCTGTTGGAGAATGTGGCGACTTCCCATGTGCTGCACACGGTAGTGAGGTGCTGTTGGCTTGCTGGCTCCGTGCTTGGTTTCCCTTTGCCAAGGCCTGTTTCTGCTGGTTTAATCGGCCTTCACTTTGAGGCCTTTGCTCTTACGCATGTAGGAGGCTTGTTGTTCATGTGCACGTTTGGGAAGTCCCCGGCAGAGGTGTGTTTGAGTTGGTCTTCTGACAGGAGCCGGGGTCTGCTACGGGCTGTGGCTTGGGAGAAGGGGGTGCTGCTGTGCTCTCTACCAAAGTATGGGCTCCAGCCTCCACACGGAAGGCCTCCCCTTCTGCTTCAGTGGAGAGAAAGCTTAGCTGCCTGCCTGGGTCCTGGCTCAGCTGCCCTCTGTGAGGGCCCTGCTCCTCAGGTTGCCTTCCTCTGACCCCTGGGTGCATAAGCTGAGCCCCCAGGAGTTCCTGTGCTCTGACAAATGCCAGTGGAGGCTGAGGTCTTGGGGGGCACCTCTCCCACACTCTGCCCTTTGCTGTTGAGGGGTGATTCAAGTGTTCTCTGCACATTATTTCATGGGGTCTCAGTGGCCAGCGGACCTGGAGGCCCTCTGGTCAAGAGGCTGCTCCTCACTCTTCCAGTG